CAGGCAGCGCCCGTCTCGGGCACGCGCGCGCGCGCCCGGCCCGGCCCGGCCCGGCCAGCCCGGCCGGGGTGGCGCGCCGGGGAGGGTCCAAGGCGAGCGCTCCCGCTCCGTGCGCCCCGCGGAGGCTTCCCGGCCCCGCGCCCGTTTTCTCAGGCTTGCTTCGCGGCGGGAAGCATCTTGGCGTGCTGGGCAGCGGGGAAACTACAACTCCCGGCATGCCGCAGCAGGGGCATGGCGGGAGTCGTGGGCTCTGTTTCCCTGCCCGAGCAGGCGCTGGATCGTGACCCTGGACCCGCCGGTCCTGCTTGCGTTCGGGTTTTCTCCAGGCGGCGGGCGGCGGGCCAGGCTGCGGCGAGCTGGGGAGGCGCGGTGGCGGAGGAGCTCCCGGAGCGCCGTTCCGCTCCTGCAGCGCGGAAGGCGCTGGACGGCCGCCTTGCCCGGTGCCGCTTCAGGGAGGGAAGCTGAGCCCGGGCCGGCGGATAGCGTAAGCTGCTGGGATCCAGCCCAGCGTTGCTAAGGAAGGCAAATGCGGCACGAAATCACTGCTTTGCCGCCTCTCGGGGCAGCCTCGGTGCCAGGGGACTGGAGAATGGACGACCCGGCGATGTTTAAAAAGGCAGTCAAGGGGGTTCCAGAAAAAGGCAGGCCAGGGAGCTTAGCGTCCATCCCCGGGAAGTAGGTGGAAGGCATTATGAAAGGCGAAATTCCTAAGCATATGAGAGGAGGCCAAGCCCTGCTCAGAGGCCAAACCTGTCTCCCTCGGAAGGAGAGACCATCTCACTAACCTTCCACAGTATCGCATGTGTGGACAGACACAGAATCACAGGACGGCAGGGCTGGGAAGGGCACCGGGTCCTGCGCTCGCTCTGCTCAGCACAGGACTCCAAGTTGCATCATCCCCTGGTTTCCTTGGACTGCCTTGAGGCTCTTGACCCCCCCCCCCCCCCCAAAGCCTTTCGGGCAAACTTAGTCGTGCAATAAGGCAGGGCTCTCCTGCGGATCTGATTGAAGAATGACAAGCTCAGCGTGGGCGTGTGTGGCAGTTTCTCCCATGGAGGAAGGTCGCCAGTGGGGTCCCACAGCCACCTGTACTGGGGCTGCCAGCTCTTTTCAACCTCCCCGCCAGTGATCTGGAATCGGGCAAGCAGTGAGGTGCCCAAGGCTGCTGAGACATCCAACTCTGTAGGGGAGTTGAAACGAAAAGGGATTGTGAGAAGATCCCGAAGGAGGTCTCCAGAGACAGAGGTGCCACTGTACGACTCTGGTGCACTCGCAGCTGGAGTATTGTGTTCAGTCCTGGGCCTCAAGCACAAGCTGCCGGGCAGGGAGGGAGGAGGCGGCCTCAGCAGGGAGAGGAGGCCCCGGGCGGGCTCCCCAGAGCTGCCCGTGCGCCCCATCTGCGGCTGGGAGACTCGAGGCGAGCCCATTCCTCCTGCAGCGATGGCCAGCAGTCACAAGCGTCCGGCCCAGCCTTCCCCAGATGTGCTGGGCAGCAGGCAGCTCCCAGCACCCCGCGCCAGCCTAGTCTGGAGGAAAGCGGGAGGGGCAGCCACGCGGGGGGCAAAGAGGGCAGCGGGCGAGAGGCCTCCGCAGCTGCCCCAGCGGCCCACGCCCCTGCCTGCTCCTTCCCGCAGAGCCGCCCGTGCCGCCGAAGGGGCAGAAGCGGCTGCAGATCCACCGAGCCCTCACCAGAGACCCCGTGGATGTGGGGAGCCTCCGGGAGGCGGCTCTCGGCCTGGGGGGGCTCCTCACCGATGAGATCCGCAGGAAGGTGTGGCCCAAGCTGCTGGGCGTGAACATCTACAGTGCTCCCCCGAAGCCAGGTACGCCTCCGGGGGCAATGCTGGGGGGGCAGAAAGCGCCTCCCCCGTCAGCCCCCCCCCCCCGCCCTGTTGCTGGTTGCAGCATTCGTCTTGAAGGGGCGGCCTCTCCCGGCCCAGTGCCCTCCGGGCTTGTCAGATTGCCGTTCCCGTCAGGGCCGGCCGGCCGGCCAGTGTCTGCGCATCCTGGGAACTGTAGGCTGGAGCATCCGGAGCTCTCTGGCCTGGGCCCGGGGCGGTTGTGGTCTGCCCCACGCATGTGCGCTCGCCTGGATCCGGGCATGCAGACCCACTGTGGAAAGCCGCTGCCGCTCTCGACGCGGCCCGTGGGAGGGAGCCTCTGCTGCCGGCCTAGGGGCATTGGCGCTTCTTGGCACACGCAGAGGCCACCTGGTGCCATGCCATGCTGGGGGTGCGACCAAGGCGCCGTTCTCTGGGGCAGCTGGCTCCCCGGCTGCAGCTGGCCTGTCTCCGGCACTGTGGGTAGGTGCACCTGACGTCCATCTGCATCAGAGCAAGTGCTCCCAGGCTCGCTTCTGCCCTCGCAGCTGCCTGGCTTCATCGGCCCCCCGGAGAGTCACAGGTGACACCCCAGGAAGGTGTCTTGCCGGGCACCTCCCCCTGCCCACTGCGCTCTCCTCCCTCCCCCAGGCCGGGATGTGCATCAGAACCACAGAGATTATAGTCAGGTCCTCCTGGACGTGCGCCGCTCCGCTCGCCGCTTCCCGCCAGGTGAGGGAAGGGAAAGGAAGGGAAGGGGGAGGGCAGCAGTGTCTCGGGGCCAGGGGAAGGTCCAGAGCAGCACCCGAAAGGGCCCCTCAAAGTGGCCACAGGCCACGACTCCCCTGCGCCTCCCAGTGCAGCCCACGCACCTTTGCCAGCTGCCCCCGTGGCTCCAGGGAGGGCCACACGGCTCCCCTCCCACGGATCTGCCCCACGTGAGTTTCCCTTGGAGCTTCGCTCTGGGATGGCCCGGCAGGCCATGCAGAGCCCCCCACTCCTGACACGCCCCGCGCACCTGCCCGGGATCCAGAGGGGGTCGGATGCACACGTGCCGCTGCCCTGGTCTGATCCTGGCCCGGACTTGCGAGTTCCGGTCCACGCAGAGTTCGTCAGACAAAAGATTGTGCCTCCTTTTATGTTCAGTTCTCCATGGTTTTCCTTTTTATCACATTTGGACAGGTTAATTCCTCAAAGATCTCATTCTGATCACTTGCCGCGAAATTCCATTTAACCCTCTGAGCGACATCTCAGGGTTTATGTCATGCACTTTCTGTCTGTGAAGGTATGCCTGGCCCCACCGCCCGGGCACCGCCTTCCCTGCAAGTGGCCTGCGTCCTGCTCCCCTGATCCTTCGACCTGATTCATTCCCACTGGAGTCTTATTCCTGCCTACTCTGCAAATGCCACCAATAGCTCTCAGGACAAGCGATATTTATTTTTACCTATTTCCATCCCATCTTTGTTCCTGCAAGGAACCCAAGGCGGCCTGCCACTGCCGCTGCTGCCTCCTCCTCCTCCTCCTCCTCCTCCTCCCCCCCCCCCCCCTCCTCCCCCCTTTTGTTTGATTCAACAGCCCAGTCCGCCGGTCAGGCTGAGGGTCACTGAGGCCCCAGGGTCACCCCGCGAGCCCCATGGCCAAGTGGGGACTAGGCGCTCACGAGTCCTGGCCCCTCACCTGCACCGTTCCGCTGCACGGGCTCTTCCAATGCTCGGAGTCCGGAGGTCTCGGGTTCGGTCGCTTGCCTGGCCATGGAGCACACTGGGTGAAGGTCAGCCTAACCTCCCTCACGGGGTTGTTGTTAGGCTGGCCTGGAGCGGAAGAGGCGGCTCCTGCAGGCTGCTTTGCGTTCCCTGCGGGGGAAGCTGCCTAGGCAGCAGGGACGAGGCCCCGAGGCCCCGTCTGCGGCGGGGTGGGCGGCGGGCGCAGCGCCAGGGCCTGGAGGCGCTCCTGACGGCCGGCCCCTCCCTCGCCCGTGCAGGCATGTCCGCGGAGCAGCGCCAGGTGCTTCAGGACCAGCTGGTGGGCGTCATCCTGCAGGTGCTGAGCGCCCACCCCGAGCTGCACTACTACCAGGGGTACCACGACATCGCCGTGACGCTGCTGCTGGTCTCTGGCGAGCGCCCGGCCGTCGCCCTGCTGGAGCGGCTGTCCACCCTGCACCTCAGGTAGGCCGCTGGACCGGGCGGGGGCGGGCCCTGCGGAGCTGCCGGAAGGGGCGGGGGGCGAGGGGGCGTGAGGGGGGGCCTCCGCAGCATCCCCCCAGCATGGTGAGACCCCCCCCCGTTGCAGCGGCCAAAGCCCGCGCAGGCAAAATCCGCCTCCGCAGTACCGCAGCCAGCTTTGCACGCTCCCAAGAGGGCATGGAGGCCACCGGGCCGGCTCACCCGGCACTCGAGAGCCGCCGCTCCCTCGCCGCGGACGCTGAGTGCAGAAGCCGCGTGTTCAGAGGATTGCTCGAAAGTTGAGGAAGGGGCCTGGAGGGCTCGTGGCTGTACTCGGATGGTTTGTAGCCTCCCCAGTGCCCTTCAATCAGCGGAAGAGCACATGAGGTGGCCCTGAACTCCCCCCCCCGGGCTGCTCATGGAGGGGGCTGGCAGATCGCTCCAAAGGACAGGGTGCTGCAAGGGGCCCTCGGACTTGAGGGGGGCTGATTTGCTGGGCTGGGACAGGCCGGCAGTGGAGCAGGGTCTCCTCAGAGAGGATTTGCAGGAGATCAGCCGGAAACGGTGCCTCCAGCGGGTTGGCCCGAGCAACACCAAAGGGCCCTTTCCTCTCCTCAGTCTGCTGAAAGCAAGAATGCCGGGGGTGGGGGCGGGGGGTGGATAGAGCTGTGCCTGGAAGGACTCTGCCAGGGCCGGTGCAGGGAAGCTGACGGCTGGGCCGAAGCTGCCTGGACACGCTGCTCGCGTTGCAGTTCTGCATGCGCCTTCCTGGGCCCCCGTTTTGCACCTGGTTCAGGGCGGGGGATTCTGGCAAGGAACCGCAACAGGCCCCCACCGGCCGGAACAGAGCCCCTTCTCGGCCGGCCAAGGCCGGCCTGCCCTGTCCTGCCCCAACAGGCCGCAGCTGCTCCAGGGCGGCTGTCCTGCAGGGCCCCGCCCCACGTCCCGCTCACCTTCCAGGGACTTCATGGACCCCACCATGGACAGCACCAAGCACATCCTCAACTACCTCATGCCCATCCTGCAGCGGCAGAGCCCGCGGCTCCACGACTTCATGCAGAGGTGGGTGGGGGAGAGCGTGGGGCGCGGTCCGAGGCGGCAGGGCAGGAGGGCAGCTGCGGCGAAACGGGGCGAGGCGTAGGGAGCACGGGGGCGCCTGGCGTGAGGGGCGGAGCTGGCGCTCTACGTTTCGGAGCCTTTTCACTGGTGGCTCCCACTTTGCGCGCAGAGCCGAGGTGGGGACCATTTTCGCCCTGAGCTGGCTGATCACCTGGTTCGGCCACATCCTCTCCAGCTCACATCACATCCTGCGCCTCTACGACTTCTTCCTGGCCTCCCACCCGCTCATGCCCGTCTACTTTGCTGCTGCGGTACGTCGGAGCGGGGCGCCCGTGGCTGGAGCCACGGGGGCACCTGCCCCCCGCCCCTGCCCCCTCTGGGGCTTGCCTGGCACCTGCCCCCCGCCCCTGCCTCCTCTGGGGCTTGCCTGGCACCTGCCCCCCGCCCCTGCCCCCTCTGGGGCTTGCCTGGCACCTGCCCCCCGCCCCTGCCCCCTCTGGGGCTGGCCTGGGCTGCTCGGTGCAGCCGTGTGCCTGCAGCCGGTGCGGAGGCGGCGCTCTCCCCCGGAGCCCGGGGCACCTCCTCCTGGAGCAGCCCCTGGCCCGGAGGGCAGCGTCTCGTGGAGCCTCGGTGCGCACGGAGCGCTGGGCTGGCCGGGCCTCTCGGAGTCCCCTCGCCTGCAGGCAGCAGTGCACGCCCGGCCTCGTGGGCCAGCCGCCTGGAAGAGCCAGGTGCGGGGAAGCTGGCTCAGGCAGCCCTGGGCCGAGGGACGCGGGCCCGGCTCGGGACCCCTTCCGGAGTCCCCCGGGGGGCGAGGAGGGCGGAGCGTAGCCCTGCAGGACCCTTGCCGTGGGGCTCTGGGCGGGGCCGGCCTCACGCCGCGCTCTGCCCGCCCAGGTGGTCCTCCACCGGGAGGAGGAGGTGCTGGCTTGCGACTGCGACATGCCCAGCGTCCACCAGCTGCTCTCCCGCATCCCGCCGGACCTGCCCTACGAGGCCCTCGTCGCCCGGGCCCACCAGCTCTTCCAGCGCCTGCCTCCTGCCGAGCTGGCCAAGCAGGCGGCCCTGCAGCCCCACAAGAGGTGAGCGGGGCCGCCCGGGCCCGGCGGGGAGGGGGCTCGCGGCGGCTGTGCATTTGGAGCATCGACAAGCCAAGGCCCCAGCGGGCGGTGGGGGGGCCCCTGACCCCGGGGTGCGCATGCGCTCGCGCCTCTCCTGCCCCGTCCCGCCCCCGCCCCTTGCCTTGGCCCTTCAGGGGAGGACTCCTCCGCTGTGCTGCTGCAGCCCGCCTGGGCCTGCTCTTGCCCCGGGGCCACAGAAGCACCACTGGCTCAGCCCCTGCAGCCGCCAGAGGCCAGAGCGGCACGCTGAGAGGCACGGGCTGCGCAGGCCTGAGGTGGCCCTGCCCCAGACGGCAGGAGTCCGGTTGCCGGGCTCCAGGCCTCATTCACGCCCCCCTCTGCTCGTTCCCCCTCCAGCGTCAGCATCGGCTCTTTCCCGGAGTTCCAGCAGGCTGCCTCATGCCAGCGCCCGGATGCCGTCCTTCGGGAGCAGCAGCTGCGGGCGGCCCCCAGCCGAGCAGGGGCCGGCGGGCTCCTGCCCCCGGCCGAGCACAGCCCCCTGCTGAAGGCGGCCGTCTGGGGGATCACGGCCACCCTGGGGGCCGCTGCTCTGGCGGTCACGCAGACCGCCCTCGACTGGGCCCCTGAGTTCCTCCTGCAGCTCTTCTAGCGCCGGCCGGAAGGCCTCGTCCGGGGACTCCTGCGCTGGACAAGCGGGCTGCTGAGGGGCCAAGAGGACTCTGGCCTCGCCCGAAGAGCCGGGAGCATCAGGAGGGCAGGGAGTGGCCGAGGCACGGGTGGCCAGTCCCTGCCGCGGAGAGTGAGAACTGCGCGTCCTTGCTCACGGCTCTGGCCTCTTGCCGAGGATCTGAATTTTGGCCTCCAGGCAGAGCTGCTTCTGCCCCAGGAGCTACAGCCACCCCGGGTGCCTGCCCACGGGCCTCCCCGTGCGCCACAAGCCACTGGTGGTTCTCCTGGGCCGAGCCACATGGCCCTGCCCCAGGCTGGCCCACGTGGGCAGCTCACTCGGGGTCCTCTTGGGCTGGGCTAGCGGGAACCGGCGCCACGTGCCAGCGGCCTGCAGCCGGGGGAGCGAGCGGCCTGGGCTGGGCCCTGCCATGCGTGGCGAGGCTGGTGCGGGGACAGGACAGGGCAGGAGCGTGGGGGGCGGGCCGTGGCTGTGGGGGGGCCCTGCTCTGCTAGCGGAAGGCCCAGGGCCCGTCCTGTGGCTGCGTCTCCGGCGCGTCGGGAGGCACACTTCGGCCGAGCGCTGTCCGTGGTTTACAAGAAGGAACGGGGTAACCGGAATCCAGCCACGGCGCCAGCAGGCTCCTCGCTGCCTTGGCCGACTGGAACGGGCATCTGAGCACCCGCCTGGCGCGCTCTGCGTCCGTCCACACGCACTCTGCGTCCCGTGGCTGGGCTCCAGGAGCACCGAGGAGGGAGGGGGCGCTCCCGTGCATGCTGCCGGGATCGCACTTGGGCCGCTGTCAGCGCGCGCTTGCTGTTGCGACCAGAAATCCAAGGTGCGGGGCTTGGCCGGGTCGTGCTGTGTGGCCCTCGCTGGCTGGGTGGGCTCAGAAATGCCAGTGAAAGCCGGTTCAGTCTGTTTATGTACCCCTATTGATGGCCTCGCTATCCAATCTTCATCCAAAGCGGAAGTGCCGGAGTGGCCCTTGTAAACCAGATGGTGGCCCCCTTCCCTTCCCTTCCCTTCCCTTCCCTTCCCTTCCATGCACTGCCGCCTATGAGGCCGCTGGGCAGGCCACGCTCCAGGCCACGCTCCCTGCTAAAGCCGCCCGCCTCTGCTCGGCCCCATCACTCGCCTCGTGGACAAGCAAACCCGGACTCTGTTGGGTCAAGGATGGTTCGTCAAAGCCGGGAGCTCTTTATTACGGAAAATAAACCCCTGAGGTCTGTTGCTGGGTCTGCACGTTGCGTTCACGCGACCTCGCCTCCTCCTCCGCGGAGGCCGCGCAGCCACGGGCAGGGCCTGTGTCGGCGCAGAAGCAAGGGAGGCCCGGGGAGGCCGCTCTGGGGCGCCTTCCGAATGGGGCAGGGCTGTGCCGGGCGCTCCTGGCCCTTTGCTGCACGCAGGAACGTGGCGCTCGGCAGCCCTGCCTGGCCACTGCCGTTCTGTGGCAGACTTTCATGGGGAAACAGAGAGAGGAGAAAGGCCAGCGGAGGCCGGATGGGGCTCCCCTTCCCATTAGCCACACCGACGACACCCTGTCCGGCTAAGGTGCTGGGAGACGCGCAAGAGCCGCCGCGGGCTGCAGTCACACGCAGGCAGGCGTGGTGAGGTTCTGCGAGCGGTTTATTTGCTTCGGCTGCTGGAGGCATTGGCCCCTCTGAGAACGAAGGAGGGAGGCAAGACTGGGATGGGGCGGGCGCAGACACGGCGGGCGCATCCCGGGCGCCTGGGCCGGCCACTGGCCTCTGCCGCCTCTGCACACAAGGCGCTTGCCAGGATCAGCAGAGGGCAGTCCTGCTGCTCTGGGCTCCGCGAAGGAAAGGCAGGATGCGAACAGAGCCAAGGAAATACATGTTGCTCTCCATCGTGCTTCCCACAGTGGGCAGAGGTCATGCAGGCCGGGGGTGCTGGGAGCTGTAGTCCAGCCCATCAGGAGGGAGGCTGGTTGGGGAAGGCTGACCTGGGTGCCCGCTGGCTCGTGGTTGTACTTCACACGTGCTAGGAGAGGGAGAATCATGGGGGGGGCTCTCCCCACGGCCCCCGATCCAGACCCGGGCAGCAGGGCACAGTCCCCTGAGGTATTTCCTGCGAGGGGGTGCTGGGGGGGAGCCACCCGCCGGCCTCGCCTCGCCAGGCTGCCTAGTTGAGGGGCCGGAAGGTGAGCAGAGGGGGCTTCCCGGGCATGAGGACGAAGCTGTAGACGGTCTTGATGTCGGCCTTGGAGACGGTGTCGACCCTGAAGTTCCGCAGGACCTGGGGGGACAAGCACAGTGGCAGCCCCACAGCAGTGGCTGCGGGCCCCTTCCTGCCCCCCACGTTCCCTCAGCAGGTGTCCTCCCTCCCTTGCCCTTGTTCTCGGCCAAAGAGGCCCACGCCCGCCCCCTTTCCCCACGGGGGATGTGCCCCAGCCCGTGGGTCATCTTGGGGCCCTCTCCTACACCCGCCCTGGCTCTGCACACCCTTTCCGGGGTGCGGCACCCAAGACAGGCCCTGGTGTGGCAAGATCTGTGCGGGGCTGGGCCAAGCTTGGCCACTGTCTCATGGATGCTGTTCCGGACGAGCCGCGAGAGGGAGCCAGCCTGTTCCCCGTCTGCTCGGAGCCCCCCGCCCAACAGCCCCGCTCCCCGGCGCCCCCAGCGCGCCCCCGCTGACTCACGTGCATGAGGAAGAGCTGCATCTCGGCCTCCGCCAGCCGCCGCCCGATGCACTGCCGGGCCCCGAAGCCGAAGGCCAGCGCCTTGAAGCCGTTGTCCTGCTTGCCGAGCCAGCGGGTCGGGTCGTAGCGCTCCGGGTTGCGGAACACCACCGGGCTCCGGCCCATGGAGTAGAGGGACACCTGGCACAGGGTCTGCGGGGGAGACGCAGCTCCTGGCGGGCCGACTCACCTGGCAATGCGCCCGCGCCCCCCCGGCATCCCAGCCCCCGGGGTCGATCCTCCGCAAGAGGCCCCGCTGCTCCCAGTCACTCCCGGCACTGCCACACGCGACGGGGCTGCCTGGCTCGGGGTCCCGGGGGGGCAGCTGGGCTGCTAGTTGGGCTGCTCCCCCAACCCACCCCGCCACAGGAGAAGCAAAGCGGGGCTGTCCGTCCGCCCGTGTTCTCCCCCGGTCCCTTTTTCTGTGTCGGTCGTGCCTCCTGGATGGCCTGAGCTCACTGACGGGTTTGGGAGCCCTTTGGGGGCTGAGGCGTGGCATGGAAATATTCCCGAAGGATTGCTCCGTAGACGAAGCTGGGGTCGCTCCTGCACCGACCCTGCAGGGCTGGCCGGTGAGGAGCATTGCACATTGAGGCCAGGCGAGGCGAGGCGGCTCTCGGGCAGGTGGGGGGCCGGGCACTTTCTGCCGCGGGACTGAGCGCATCCCATCAGTCATCGCAAGGCTGGGCCGCGTCCCTGAGCCGAAGGGCAGAGACTCCTTTCCGTCAGAACAGGCACTGTGGTGGGCAAGCCCTCCCCCCGGTCTCTCGCTGAGCCGTTTCCCAGTCCGCAGTGCCTGGGGTGGGTGGGGGTCGAAACAGGGCCCCGGGTGCAAGGCAGACGCCACGAAGCCTCGCCCTCTGCGCGGCAGGAGCTGCGTGTGCCAGGGCACTGCAGCCGGGAGCGCCCTCTGCCCGGGACGCGGGCGGCCAGCCGAGCCAGCCCCGCGCACTCACCCCAGCCGGCACGTGGTAATTCTGGAGCACCATGTCCCGCACGGGGTAGCGCTGCACGGTAATCCCCACGGGATACAGCCTGCGAGAGGAAAAGGCCATCGGGTGAGGGCAGGCTGCTGCTGCCCCTCCTGCTTGCTGAAGGGGGGATCGGGACCACCCGGGCTCCGAGGGTGGCCAAGGAGGCCTCCCATTCCAGGAGAGCTTGACTGAGCGGGCCCCAGCTCCAGTCGGAGGCCGTGCACGTCTGGATGCGGCTCTGGGGAGCTGGATCCGTCCATGCTGCTCGCGCCCTGCAGCTGAGCATGGGCCTCATCCCGGGGGGGGGGGGGGGGCTAAAAGGAGTGGGAGGGCCAGTTCAGGGACAGAAGTGGAGGGCAGCGTCAGGTCCAGGAGGGGCTGGAAACCGCGAAAGGGGCGCTGTCGGGCAGATTGCGGCCAAGCGTCCCGAGAGGGTCTCCTGCGTCCCTTTTCCCCGCACGTGTGTCAGCCTCTTCGGAGGAATGCTCGGTGCGGCAGCCCTCCGGACCAGAGGAGCGGCGACCGCAGCCTCGCACCCCCAGCAGCCGGCGGCCGACACAGTTTAGGAACTTAGTGCCGGGCCGGGAGGGAGGCGGAGCTGGGCGCCCAAGCGAGCTCCGGACCTCAGCCGAAGCGGGCGAAGCGCCGGCGCCGCGGCCTCTGCGCCGCCCACCCCGGGCTCCCCGGGGCTTCCTGCCCGGCCGAGGAAGGCGCTCCAGGTGCCGGCTGGGCTCGGGGCGGGGAGAGGACTGCGAAGGGGAGGCGGCGGCGCCAGCCGGGATGCTCCGAGCCTTCGCGGGCGGGGAGGTGAATAGGATGGCCCGCCTCTGGAAATGGGAAGGCCTGCAGCGCCTGACCCCAAAACCGCCACCTCCCCTCCCCGATTCGGCGTTGTGAAAGGGCTCGTGGGGCCCCGCGCGCGCGCCTGGGCTCCCCCTTCTCCGGCCGGGAGCCAGCCCCCCCCCCCCGCGCCTCGCCCTCGCTTGCCTCAGGGTCTCCTTGATCGCCCCCTTGAGCAGCGGCAGGCCGCTCAGCACCTTGGAGAGCTCCTGGGGCCCGAGCGCGTCGGCGCGGCGGATCTCCTCGCGGACGGCGGCCTGGACCTGCGGGTTGCGGGCCAGCTCGAAGAGGGTGAACAGCAGCGGCATGGCGGTCTGGGGCGGGAGAGGGGCCGGTCAGGGCCGGCAGGGACGCGGGCGCCCACCGGGCACGGGGGGGCGGAACCCACTGCCCCCGCGCCACTCTGGGCCCGCGGAGCTCCCCAGAGAGCCCCTGGGCAGGCGGGGCGGGGGCCGTCGCGCTGCGTGTTGCGCCCCCCTGAATGCACACGAGGTTGCCTGAGCTTGCAAAGGCGCCTCCTGAGGGCAGGAGGGCGACAGGCTTCTGCCCGAGGCTTGGGGCTCACGGGATCCTGGGCAGAGGGAGCGCTTGCGTGCGACGTCGGGGTGGGCATGTCTCGTGGCTGTCTTCACGGCCCCCGTGATTTATATCTCCCCGTCTTGCTGGTGGCCGGACAGTGCAGCCGACAAACAGCCTCAGGATGTGACGAGCCCTCTCAGCCGCTGGAGGGGTCACACTGGGCCTGGGCAGCCACCCACCGGGTGCTCTGAGCGGGACTCAGCCCTCGGCAGGCTTCTCTGCGGGGTGCTCCTGAGCCAGGAGGCCGTGGATGTCCAGCCCAGACAGGTGCCCCAGACTGGGGTCCTCCCGCCGAACTCCGGCGTTCCTCAGGCAGCACGGCTCTTGTGGAGGGGCCGGCCGTGCAGCCTGGCCGGGACCCCGCAAGGCGCTCTGCTCAGGGGGTCCTCCCGGGGCTTCCATGCAGGTCACTGAGGCAGGGCGAGCCCAGATGCGGTCGCTCCCCAGGCAGCCCACTCACCGTCTCCACCCCGCCTGCCGTCAGCTCGATCATGTTGGCCTTGATGCAGTCCAGGGACATCTCCTCCTGCAGCAGCAGCTCGGACATGATCCCGGAGTACTTGCAGGGCTGCGCCACGCAGAACTCCTGGTAGATGTTCTGGATGCATCTGTCAGCTGCGGAAGGAGCAGGAAGCTTGCCCAGGCTCGCCAGGGGACAGCCCTCCTCCCAGCGCCCAAGCGCATCGTGCTGGATGGCCAGGGAACGGGCTGCCCCTGAGTGGGAGGCGCGGGGGCTGCCAGGAGGGGCGGCTGTGCGAGCCCGGGGGGTGGCACACGGGGGCCACGCTGCCCCTTCCCCCTGCAGCAGCTGGCAGGGCCTGTGGGTCTCCCCAAGCGAGCAGATGTGTGCGCGCACATGTGCCTGTGTCTGCGCGGGCCTGCGTAAGAGGCATGGGCCAGACACGCCTCTGGGCTGGGCTGGGCTGAGCATGCCCAGTCGCCCCAAGCCGGCCATGGCTCACGCACTGCTGCCCCTCCCCTCTGGGGGACTTCCGCAAGGTCGTGGGGCAGACAAAGCAGGCCCTCCAAGGGGCCGCTGCCTGCCCGAGCTGAGGCACCCCCACTGGCCCGGGCCTGCTCCTGGTGCCCCCCATCCCAGAGGAGGTTGCAGCCCGGGGTGCCTGGGCCTGGCACTTTGGACTGGCCCCCCGCTTCATGCGCCGAGACCTGGTGTCTTCCAGGCACGTTGGCCTATTGCCCCCCGCCCAGGGCTCCACAGCGGCCCCACCACCCTGCTGCATCCCACGGGAGGGGCAGAGGGCTGCCCCCCCCTCCCCGGCCCTGATCACAGGGCGGCGGCAGGGCTGACCGTGCTTGAAGATGGCATCCCAGGCGGCCACGTGGTCCAGCCAGAGGCCCCTGTGCACCCAGCGCATGACGCCCGGCGGGATGAAGAGCAGCGGGAGGGTGGTCTTCAGCATCGTCTCCACGGCCTCGATGAACTGCTGTGACTCTGGCCTGGGCCTCTCCTCCAGGAGGCCCAGGCGCTCTCCGTACAGGACGTAGCTGCTGGCTGCCGGAGGGGCAGAGGCTGTGAGAGCGGACCCCGGGCAGGGCAGGGGCACGGGCAGGGGCGCCTTCCCCAGCCTGGTGCCCCAGATGTGCTGGACTACAAGGGGAAGGGGCTGCCTGGGCTGGAAAGGGGCCAGCCGAGCTGCGGAGGGAAGCCGCTCCAATGCGCAGGGCTGAAAGAGCTGTTTCGAGGCGGGGAGGGTGCCGAGGGGACGCGGCGATGCTGTCGGGGGAAGTGGGGCAGCCAAGCCCATCTCGGGACTGCCGCTTACCTTCCAGTGTGAAGCGAAACAGGTCGTGGTACAGGTCAACTGTGAGCGAGCCCCGGCTGTTCTTCCGGATCTGCCGGTGCAAGAAGTCCACGAAATCCTCGGCCACGGTGTCCAGGAAGGGCAGGAACTTGCGGGCACCCATGAGACTGATCACCTCCTTGTTGAGGATGAGCCGGTCCGAAAGCCACTTCTCCCCATTTCTGTGTGGCAAAGGACATGCCAGGAGGCCCCGGGCTGCAGGCACCGTGAAGGGGCCCGCGCACTGTGCCTCCCACAGAGCCGCCCCCCCGCCAGCCCCTTCTGGCCACCTTCCCCGCCCCCGCCCTGCTTCGCCGTGAGGCATCCCAGGCGCCCCCGTGAAAGCCTGGGATGTGCCCCCACTGGCCGGACGGATTCAAGCCAGGGACGGATTCAAGCCATGCCTGCTGGCATTTTGGGAGTCCCTGGAGCTCCGCTCTGCCAGAGAGAAAACAGAAGGTGCCCCCCCCACCCCGTGCATCAGTCCGCAGCATTCCCTCCTCTCCCCAGCTCCCAAAGACTTGATTTCCATGTCCCCGGCTGTGCTTGGCAGGGCATGCTGGGAGTTGTAGTCAAACGCTTTGGCGAGCACCGGCCTGGGGGATGGCTGAGGCCAAGGCTTCCTCGACTAACAAGGTGGGGGCTGAATTGCGAACGTGCTCCTTGCCCCTCCATGGCTCCATGTGGTCCCAGAACGCCCCCTCCCCAGGCTGAGAATTGTCCCTGGCCCAGAGCAACCCGCAGGCCGAACCGCGGCCTTCCACATGCAAAGCTCTCCACATGCGTGGGGACTGGGAGTGACGGAGGGGGTGGCCACAGGCGGTCCCCCCCACTTACAGAAGGAAGATGCCGCAGTTCTGGTTCCGCAGTTCGCGGTGGGCAGTCCAGGCATCGATGCCCATCCGACGCGGGAGGGTCCCCTCGGCCCGGAAGAGCTGGGCGGCGTCGTGGGGCAGGAACACGTTGATGCTGTCGTGGGTGCCCAGCTTCTCCCTGCCGACCGGGACGGCGTCAGGAGCTCGCCGCGCGTGGCCCCAGCGGCCCTGGCCCAGCGCCAGGACTGAGGAGGGGCGCGCCGGAGAGCGCTCCTCAGTCGGGAAGAGGGCGGACCCACCCCGAGCCCACACTCTCCCTCCCTCTCGTGCCCTCAAGCAGACCCTCCCCCATGACCTGCCCCCTCAGTTGCAAGGACGCCCCAGTGGGCGCTCTTCCCCCCGCCCCACAGGCTGCCGGCGTGCCTGGTGGGTTAACCCGTCTCCTGCCTCGCGAGGTTGGCCAACACGGTTCGTTGCCACGGGCAACCTGCTACCCAGAACCCATGCGCTGCCACCGCATCACTGTGCCTCATGGACCACCTTGGGATTGCACCACCCAGCATCATGGCTTTCGGGGGCCCTTTCAGGCCCCCAAACTGCTCCAGTGCCTGTGATTTCATGATCAAGGGCTAACCAACCTCAAAGGATGCTACCCCCTCAGGGGAGCTTGTGGGACCCACGCCTGACCCCCGTTACTGCCGTGGTGGCCAGGTGGGGGAGCCGATGACACAGGATTCCTCTCTGGGGGGCCTTTCCTTGGCAGCCAAAGATTTTTCTATTTGCTGCTGACCGTTATGGTTGCGGATGTCATTCACCGAGGCATCATCGGACGGAAGCCCCGGCCTCGGCTCTCCAAGGGCTGCCAAGGACGGGGCCCTGGAAGGCTCTCGTCCTTGGGGTCACGCAAGTCAGAGACGACTCGACAGCACATAGCGACAAGAACACAAGGCAACCTGAGGGCCCCCCCCAAGCCCTCCCAGGCAGCGCTTCCTCAGACAAGCAAACCTATGCTTATTCATTCCAAATGAAAGGAATCTTGAGGAATTCTGCTGCCCTCGATTTTAGCAAAGCATTTCATGAATGTGACCTGAAGATGAAGGAGAAGGATGGTAACTGGGATGCCCCCCAGGCTGCCAGACCCACCCAGGCTGTCCTCCTCACTGCCGGCCCACATGGTGGCGGGGGGGCAAGGCGGAAGGGCTTCTTCTGGGGCTTGGCAGGAGACCCAGCACAGTCCGGGCCCAGCACACTCACTGGAGGAAAACCCCTTCAGCGCCTGAGGCGGGAGCTCAGAGGCGCCCCCCGTCTGCCTCCTGTTGCACCGTGGCTGCCCAAGGACCCCGGGCAGCCCCCCTGCAGGAGTGCCCCTCTGCTCAGCTCTCCCTTGAACCCCCTGCCACCCCACAGACTCCTGCTGGCTCTCAAAGGCTGCCACAGAGAGGAAGGCCAAGATCTCCTCTTGCTGATGCCGGAGTGCAGGAGCCGGAAGGATCAGGCTGAGCTGCGGCAACCCAGGTCCAGGCTGGGCATCAGGAAGAGCTTCCCCAAGTCAGAGCAATGGGGCTGTGGGACCGGCTGCCCGGAGGGGGGGTGCTCTCCCCACTGGGGACATTCAGGCAGAAACTGGGCAGCCCTCTGAGTGGGGTGGTGTGACTGGTGTCCTGCAACAGCAGGGGGTGGACTAGATGGCCTTCGGGACCCCCTCCAGCACTACTATTCCATGATTCGGCTCATCTGCTGTGAATATGCACCCCGGGAGCAAGTCTTGGAGAGAGAGAGGCCACTGCCAGTAGGTAATTCTGCGCCTCACATTTGCTGCAGGCAAGGCCGAGGGATCGTGGCATCATGGATCTCGCAACCAAACCTGCCTCGAGATCCGGTGAGACCCATGACTCAAGTGCAGCCCTTGGGCTGCGGTGCGCTGGGTTCTCTTCCGGGTCTACTCTGCTAGGATGGGGTAAGTTGGCACATATTTGAAATGTTCCTACTGCACTGTCAATCACGTGCATCCGCTTAGGTGTTTCTGCAAGCCGTATCGTGCATGACCGGCCTTTCCGACAGGAAGGGAGGCTGCCCGGGACCCTCTGGCACAGGGGGCTGCCCCTGCTCCTGGCCCAAGCCCCCCCCCCCGTGCCCCCCCCCAGCACAAGCACTCCAGGCTGCTAACACATGCTCCTCGCCCCCGCCAGGGCCCCCCCAGAGAACTGAGCCTTCTGCTGGCTTGTGCGCCGAGGTCTTGCCCAAGCAGGGCTGCCGGCTCCCGAGGGTTCGGTTCTGGACCGCAAAGGTGGCGCTTTCCGCTCCCGGCTCCCTGCCTGGGCATCCAGGGGCAGGAGCGCGTGCAGACACACCCGGCAGGCAGGCGGCTGTGCGGCTCTCCTGGCCGCCTTCATCCATGGATCTCCCAGGGCAAGGCAAGGGATGGGACGGACAGCGGGACCTTCCAGGGCAGAGGCAGCCGAACCGCCCAGCCCCGCGAAGCCCTGCCTAGGCGCTGGGTGCCTGCCCAGCAGAGCCCCCCCCCCCCCGAAGCAGCCTGCGCAGGCCCATCCCCAGCGGGCCCCCTGGGCTCCTGCCTCCAGCAGCAGAAGGTCTGGGCCAGCCCTGCCGACGCTGGAGCTAGGGACTTCCATGCCCCCCACCCCCTGTGAAGGCAAGCGGCGCCTACTGGGAGCCGTGCAGCCCCATGACCGCCGGTGGCCTCCGTCCTTCTCATTACACTCGGGGGAGCGCAAGGCCACCCAGAGCGACCCTCTGCCCATCCGCACAGCCCACACGGACCCCCCGGCCCGCTCAGTGGGCGCAGGGCCGGCGGGAGTGCCGTGTCCGGTGGGGCTATGGCTCGGCCAAGCGGGCAGTGCCGCACGGGGTCGCCAGGGGCTGCTCCACGCTGCAGCGCCTCCGGTGGGGACCCGCTCGGGCAATCCCTGAAGGCAGCATGCGGGGCAGGAGATGGGGCAGCCGCGGAGGGTGGGGGGCTCACCTGTAGATGGGCCCCAGGTTCTGGAAGTTCCTTTGCATGACGTGGTGCAGGTTCTGGAAGCTGTTGCTCCTCCAGAACTGGAAGAGGTTGATCCAGGCGTTGTGGCCGCTGTGCGGAATGGCCTCGAAGGGCAGCACCTTGGAGGCGGCCGGCTGAGTAGCCACCACGGTGGCCGCCGAGCGGCAGGGCTGCCCGGACCAGAGGGTGCGGGAAATGCTGCGGCGAGCCGCCTGGGAGCTCAGCCGGCCATGGGCCCCCATCGCCCCTCCTCTGCCGGGCCACGCAGTGCCCTCCAGCAGCCCCTCGTCAAGGCTCTCTCCTGCAGGGAGCAGCAGCTCTTATACTGCCGCTGGGACCTCCCCCAGCCGAGGGCCGGCACTGGGGCCGCAGAGCAGGCAAGGGGGCAGCTCCCCCCGTGGGGGTGCCAGCTGTGGCGTCCCAGGAGCTCCTCGGCACGGAAGAAAAATGGCCGGTGCAAAGGGCTTCGTAGGCGGCCGCCTGCCAGAGGAGGGGCCCCGGAGCCAGTCTCCCCCGCAAGCGGAAGGCCTGTCCGAGCGCAGGAGCGGTGGCTCGGCAAAGCAAGGGGCAGAAGTTGCATTCGGTGGGGACTCCCCGGGGCAGCTCCTTGTGCTGGGGCCAGTGAGCTGGGCAAAGCACCCGTGCTGTTCCGTAGCACCGGACTCGCCACTGGGGAGGTGCTCCGTAGCCCACCCTCCCCGGCGGGGCTTCCTGCTCCAAGCTCCGGCGCAAGCACTGCCCCATCGCCTGCACGGGCCGGGTCGCCGCCTGCGTCCTGTTGCCACGCACAAGGCAAGGGACCCGCAGGGATGCCCCGTCTTCCACAGCCAGGGCCAAGGCGTTGGGCTAGTTTGCGGCAGCCGGGTGCCAAAGGCCCAGAGAAGATCTGTGGGGGTGGCTGGGCGGGGGGGTGGCCACACTGGCTGGGGACGGCGGGGGTGGCTAGCAAAGGTCCGAACGGCAATGGCCAAGACTATTCCGCTCCCACAAATCCAGCGTGGGGCGACCCCGCACTGCCCTGGAGTGGCACCGTTTTGGTCATCAAACCCGGAAAGGGATTTTGTGGAGAAGAGAAACGCGCAGCCGAGAGCAATGCACACGATCCCGCAGGGGGCAGCTCCCCCAGGAGAGGAAGGGCACCCAGAGTGGGAATGAGGAGGGGTCTGAGAGGGCCCCATGCCATGCTGCCAGGCGGGGGCATGTGGCGCAGGAGGCACTGCTCTCCCTCCCTCATAACAACAGAAAGCTGTGGGGTCTCCCCCCCCCCTCCCCGTTAGGCCTCACCTGGGGCCCTGGGGCCAGTTCTGGGCACCAGACTCCAAGAAAGATGCAGGCAAGCTGGGAAGGGTTGTGGGGGGGGGGGGACAAGTAGGACTCACGGAACGCCCCCCCATGTGCCCCAGGCTGCAGCCTGGTGCCCTGCATTCCTTCCTCTCGGATGTGGGTGGGCATCCTGGGGCCCTCCAGGATGTTTGGGCTACGCCCCCCATTGACTCTCACCACCGGCTATGCTGGCCGGAGCCAAAGCATCTGCAGGACCCAGAATGACCCACCTCCCCCCGCCGCCAGCTCAGCAGCAATACGCTGTGCCCAGGCACCGGCGGGAGCCTGACGGGGCAGTGGAAGACACGCTGGGGGGCTCATCTCTTTGGTCGGCTGATGGGCAGCTGGGAGACTTGGGCTGGCAGAGCCAGGAGCAGGCCGCCTCCCCATGGGCTCACCCTCCTGGGGGCTCTGGCTCACCCTGTCCTGTGATGGGGCAGCTGCGGGCCGGCCTGCCTGCGTCAGGAGGAGCCGAGGCCGGAGGCCGGGGAGGGGGCGAGAGCACGTCACCGGGGGGTTTCAGCGTGGAGTGTGCAGACCCTCGCTGGGTTCTGAACTTCCTCCTACTCTAAAAATATCCATAAAGCCAAAAGGGCAAGGACATTTCCCCCTCTGATCTATTCCAGGAACCGCTCGCTCTCGCTCCGTCTGAGTCTGTCCTCAACCTGCGGAGGGAGGTCGGCATCCTGCACACGGCACGGTGCTGGGAGAGGCGAGGGGGGCACCCCAACATGGTGCCCCGCGGGCCCCCCACCCTCTCCGGGTTCCTCTGCCACTGTCCTCCAGCCCCTCTTGCCACGCCCGCCTCCTCCGAAGGGGCCCGAGGCAGTAGGGGCCCCGTCTGCAGCACGGGGCCCCAACAGAACACAGGCGGGCACGGAGCCCCACGGGACGCGTGGCCTGAGGGGCAAGGTCTGAGCAAGGGGGGCGCCACGGTGCAGAGGGCTCCGCGTCCTCGGAGCAGCAGGGGCACTGCCTGCGCAGGCCAGGCGCAACTTCGGGCGGGATGGGGATGGGGGCCGGGGGTGGGGAGGGGGCAGGAGAGGCGAGGCGAGGCGAGGCGGAGGGAGCTGGGCCTCTTTGGTCGGAGGAGGGGGGACTCTGAGGGGGTCCTGGAGCGGCGTCTCGGTATGCGAGGGGGTGCCACGTGGAGGAGGGCTGGGGCCTAAGGCAGGGGGTGGAGGCCCCACCAGGGAGGGTGCGCAAGCAAAGACGGGACAGCCACCGGCAGGGGTGGCATGACTGGAGCCGGCGGGAGCGGGGGGTCAGGCTAGATGCCCGGGAGGCTCCTGCTGTCCCGCTTTGCTTCCATGTTTCCCTCCGTCTCCTCATGGCACTGCCGAAGAAAACCCGCAAGCCTCGGCAAGAGGGCTCAGGAGAAGCGAAGCCGGGAGAGGTGCGAAAACAGCAACAGAAGTGAACTTGAACCCACTCCGGCTCTCGGAACGGCTGCCCCCCCCAGCTGCCCCACAATTCTTTGGCGGACAGACTCCTCATGAAGCCCCCCGACGCAGAAAGCAGCCACGAGTGCCGTGTCGGCCGCAGCCTCTGCAGCTCCCTCCGGGCCGGTGCCCGGGCCTGGATTCCAGCACAGGCAAGGGAAACCGCGCGATGGCCCCACCACCCTACACACACACACACACACGCGCGTGCACGTGTTGTTCGCCCACGCCGAGCCAGGGGCAGGACCGCAGCTTCCGTGGCCGGCTGGTGCGCCTTGCCGCCGTGTCCCCAGTTCGAGCCTCCCGTGGTCCCCCTGGGCAAGGCAGCAGAGGCGGCGGGGGGGGGGGACCCGGGGGGGTCTTTGACTCTCGCCGCAGAAGCCGGGCGTGGGGCGGCTGGAATCTGTTCAGCGTGTGCCACCCTTGAGCTTCAGGACTCAAGGCTGCTGGGACTGAAGCCAAGAAAACAAAAGGCGAGCGTGACGGACGCGGCTCCCAGATAAGAGCAGTAAAATAGCCTTGCCCGGCACCCATGACGGCGGAGAGGACCAGGACGGCCTTGGAAGGAGGCCCCGGTGTCCTGAGGTGAGGGTGCCCCCGGGGCAGGCGCAGGACGCGGGCAGCAGAGGGGGGCCGGCCGGGAGGTGGTGCAGGCCGCATCCCGGCCGGGGGGACCCTGCGCCTGCTCTGCGTGCCTCCCGCCCCATTCCAGAGGGCTCCTGCGGGACAATGTCCCCGTCTCCTGCCCAGCCCCCCTGGCGGCACCTGCCCCTCATCAAGCGGCAGGAGGGCCTCGTCCGGAGCTCCGTCGGCGTGGATGTGAGAACCGCCCGCAGGGACACGCAGCGCTTGGCGCATGCACGGGAGACCTTCCTGTGGACGGATGCCCCGTGCTGTGTCTCTCCCATGGCCGGCCTCACGCACGGCAAGGCAGGAGAGCGGTGCCGGGGCTTCGAGAGGAGCCAGCGGCGGCGCCGGGTGAGCCTCTCCAGGGAGGGCGTGCTGCAGCCAGGAATGGCCGCCTCTCCCACCAGTGCCTGCGGGCCCCCGTGAGAACTGCTGGGCTGCGCCGGGGCAGGGGTCCACCCCGGCTGCTCCCACAGCGGCCCCACCTGCCCTGGGAAGCTCACGAGCCAGGCAGGAGTGCAGCAGCCCCTCCCGCCCATCTTCCCCAGCAGCAGGGACACGTGGACAGCAGCCTCTGGGGGCAGGGGCAGCAGAGTGCCCCAGAAACAGCGACCCCTGGGAGCCAGGCATCCGCCCCTTGAAATGCTGCCCTGGCGAGAGGCCACCAGAGCTTCTGGAAGCCGAACTGGGAGCCGTGCCAAGTCCCGCCCCTCCGACCACCGCCTGCTCCATGGGGCGATCGCCACCAGGCTGCCCCTTCCCTCCGACCCGAGGGTCCCTCCCACCCGGCCCTGTCCTCCAGCCTCCAGCCCCGAGCCGCCTCTCTGCACCCTGTGCCCCTCTCAGGCGTGGTGCCAGGACCGCCCGCCACCCGCCCAGCAGCAGGGACTGCAGGGTGCAAGTGCCTTCTGGAGCGTGGCCTGGTGAAAGCCTGCAAGGGAACATTTGTCCCGGGGAGGGGAGGACCCCCCCCCCAATAATGGCCCTCAAGCACAACTTGCTTCTACTGGCAAGAAGTTCCAGACAGTGTGCTGCTGTGATCAGGTTTACTGGGGGGGGGGGTTGGAAAGGGTGCCCCCCATGGACCCCTACCTCCAAGAGCTCCGTGGTCACGGGCTGCCCCTCCTCCTCCTCGCCACTGCCTGTCTCAGATGGAACATAAGGCTTCTGAGCCACCTGCTCTGGCTTGGCAGCATGGATGAAGGAGTGACTCCCCCCTGGCAGGACTGGGGAGCAGCAGAGGTCCTGCAGGGCCGGCCTGGCCAAGGCCGTGCAGCCAGCTAGTTCTCGGAATACCCCCAGGATGGTGGGCATCGCACGTCTTGTGGCAGTGAGTTCCACAGATCAGTTCTGCATGCTGCGCAGCAGGTCACCCCAAGCCGGCCCGAGAGGGAGTTTGTGAGTGGCAAACAGGTTTCGCAGAACGCCGGATGGCATCTCCAGAGCAACGGTGATAAAACTGGCGCTGGTTTCAGCGCTTTCTGCACATCATAAGAAGGCCACTCCTGCAGAAGACACGTGTGGCAGGGAAAATAGAAGAGGAAAAGGAGGACAAGCTAGGAGATGGACGGGCTGCACGGAGGGAGCCCCGGCCTGGAATCTGTGAGCGCCGAGCAGGGCTGTCCTGGGTGGGCCCCTGCGAGCGGCCAGTGGCCCAAGCGCATGCCGGCTGGCCACAACAGCCGCTGGCGCTGCCCGCGGAGGCTCTGCTGGCCCTGCTCAGTGCGAGGCGAGCAGGAGTCCTTCTCAGCGCTCCCCAGCGATGAGGGGCTGAAGGGGGCTGGGAAGTGGGTCAGCAACGGGGGGGGGGGGTAGGCAAAAGGCAAGGCTGTGGGTCCCAGCATTGGCTTCCCCCAGAGAGAGCAATGTTGGCAGCGGGGGCAGCTCCCCCGAACCGGCGCCTGGGAGCAAGAGGCCCCCACCATCCCGCTTTCCATTCCTGGGGCCTTGAAGTCCAACAGCAGCTACACAGAGGCGGGAACCCCCCCCCAGCTGTGTGGGGCGCGGCACCCTCCTTGTGAGACAGGCCGGCTGGGGGCTGACGCTCACCTGTGGGGAATTCCCAAGCAGCTGAGCGGGTCCGTTGGCTCAAAAGCACAGAGGCCTGTGGCACCTGGGCGACCAGCATGCGCATTCTGCCCCCTCCACCCCAACAGGAGCGCCCTGCTGGTTCAGACCACAGGACTCCCCGTCCAGCTGCCGGTTCCCAGTCGCCGGCCAGCGGCCTGTGGGAGCTCCAGGGTGAGGCAGGCCTGCCAGGCCCCGCTCTTGCCCGGGGTCCCTGGCGCTGGCGCTCAGAGGCCCCCACCTCAACAAGAAGGGCCGGAACAACCGAGGGCCACAGAGCCGCTGCTTGCCCCGGACGCAGCATCCGTGCAGGCAAGCTCCGTGCCCGTCGCAACTGACCCACCGCCTGCTATTTTTCGACTTCTTCCCAAGCATGTGTGTGGGGCAGCGCCCTTTGCAGCAGCATCCCCTGCTTCTGCGGGGGCGGGGGGGGGTCTCCTCGCACTGAGATGCCTTCCCTTCTCCGGCTGGAGAACACGGAGAGGCGTGCAAAGAGCCAGGCCATGCCGTGCAACCGCGCAAAGGACCGCTCGGCGTGTCCGCAGTGTCCCCGGATGCTGCAGAAGGACGGCGGGGGGGGGGGGGGGCTTAATGCCCCTGCAGTGCCCGATCTTCTGGCAGGCACAGCGGACTTCAGCCACCGTGCGTGGCTCACGTTCCCGGGAGTTTAACATCTGGGGCAAACCCCGCCAGAGAGAGGCTGCTCCCGTCCCTTTCTCCAGTTCGCGTGAGACGTTTATGCGCCCCCCCCCCCCCCCCCTTGCTTCCTTCCCGCTCAGCGTGGCTGTCCCGGGCGCTGCGGCCTGTCCCCGGATCGCTTCCAGGCCCCCCTGGCCTTTTCCTAGCTTCTTTCAGGTTGTGGCGACCAGAGCTGCACCTGGCGTTCCAAGTGTGGCCGTGTCCTGACCTTGTGCGGCCCACAGCGCCCGGTGCAGCAGCGCCCCACGAAAGGCGGTGCCACAGCACGCGGCCGTGCAGGGAACGCGCAGCGAGCGTGTCCCACGGTGGGTCGGGGGCAGAGGGTTTCTGCCACAGTAACGGCTTAAAATCCGCAGGGGGTGCACCGTCTTGTGTGAACGCAGCCAGAGGGCCTTGCGGCACCTGGAAGAAGAGCTCCCGTTCTGTGGCACAGCATCTTGTGGACCTCTGCCTCACCGGCGAGGGCTGGGTGTGGCCTTGGGGTGCTGAAGGAACCGGCCCTGATGGGGCCCCCAGCACCCCCAAATTGCTGGCACGGGAAGCCGCCTCCTGCTGCTGCTGCTGCTCCAGGACAGAGGTTGGCCCGTTGCGTGCTCTGCTCGGCCCCACACTCCGCTACCGCAATGTGTCTCGGGCGACTCAGTTCGGGGCTGCTGGGCTGCGTGGTCCGACTCCAAGGAACCCGCCTCACAGCCCCTCCGGTTTCTGGTCTGGTTCTGAGCACGATCAAGAGCTCTTGAACTTTCTCCCAGAAGCCCCGCAAAGCTGGCAGCCAGAGGAAGGCTGTGGGCCTGCCTGGCACCCACCCGAGAAGCGGGGAGGGGCTGCGGCCCACCTCTTCGCCCGCACTGCAGAGTTGCCGGCCGGCCCGCTCCTCCTGCCGCCTGGGCCAAGCACAAAGCTTGCCTCCCAGACCCGGTTGCGGTTGCGCTTTGCTTCTGATCCGGCCACGCTCGCTCGCTGTTTCGCCTCCTCCGAGGCGGCCCTTTGCTGGAGAGCGGGATGCAGTTTGGAGGGGGTGAGCTCCACTTCCAAGCAAGCCCCGGCCTCCGCCACCCCGCACAAGGCGCGCCCCCTAGTGGCTGTGGGTCAATCAGACCATCACGGTGACGGCGCGCCCCCTGCTGCCGCCAACACGTAGGAATCCTCCCCTGGCCCCAGAGCTCCGGGGAGCTGTCCGCGCGGGCTTCCTCTGCCGCCCGGGCCGGGACTCTCCCGCTCGTGGTCCGAGGGGGAAAGAGGAGATCGCTCCCGGCTCGGCCGGAAGCTGCGGCCCCCTCGGTGCTCCGGGCGGGGGTTAACGCGGCTGCCCCCATTTGCACCGCTCGCCTCCTCCCTTGCTAGAGAGACCCCCGTCCCGACGCAGCTGGGGCCACTGGGAGCGGGGGACGCGCTGCAGGGCTGGCGCAGCCCGGGCGGAGGAAACGGCCAGAGCGGCGCGACAGGATCCCGTCGCCCGCTGCCCGCGCCGGGCACTCGATGCGGAGATGTGCAGAGAGGCGGCCGCCCCCGCGCCAGCTCTGCTGCCGAAGCCCCACAGCTCCGGCGGGCGTGGCGGGACCGAGGGCGGCGATCCCAAGAGCCCCGCTTCGGCCTGCCCGCACCGAGCCCCAGAAGCCGTCTTCCGTGCCAGCGTAGATGCGGCCGTGTCTTTGAGCATATACAGAACGCCTGCCTCCCGCACCAGGTCGTAAGTTAAGCGTCCCCAGCCTGGCGCCCCCCAGAAGTGCCGGAATGCATCTCCCATCGCCCCCAGAGGGCGCATCCGCGGAGGGGTGAGCTGCGACAGCCTCCCTCAGCTCTTCTCGCCCCCCCCCCCGTGTCTCCATCGCTCGACAGAGTGTAGGACCTTCGGGGCAGCGACTTGCCATTTCCCCCCTCCCTCGCTTCTGCTGTTCGGTTCAGCGCGACGCTCCGGGAGCTGACGGCGGCCACGGCGGAGGTTCACCGAGAGCCGCCTGGGGATGTGCGGAGGGCAGAGCCGGTCGCCTCTGCTGCCCCGTGGCCCCTCGTCCCCGTGGAGCGAGGCCGCCGCGCTCTGGCTCCGCCGACTTGGCTGCCTCCCAAGCGCCTCTGGGCGCTGCTGGGCTGGTGTCCGGCGCGCCGCGGCTCTGATCCCATTAGACCGCGCTGGCTAAGCAGGGTCAGGCGAGGTCACCGCTCCGCAGGGAGGCGAGCCGCGGGGCCCTCCCTCCGCGGCCAGGGCGCTTCGCGCAGGGCGCCTCCGCGGCGCCCATCCGCAGGCGAGGCGCCCGCCCGTCAGCGCCGCCGTTCCGCCACGAGGCGCGCCGGGCCGCGCAGGCTTTCCGGGGGCGCGGGCGGGGGGCGGGGGCGAGGTGGCCCGTGGCTGCGTCCCTCCGCCTGCCGCCTTCACGCTGGGGAGGGGCGCGCTGCGCGTGCCTGCCCTGCCCCGCGGGGCCCCGGGCGGGAGGAAAGGTCGGGCAGACTGTGCCGCCTCCCGCCCTACTCTCCAGCGGGCGCCAGCCGGACCCCGCGGGGGACCGACGGCACCCCCGGACTCCGGCTGGGCTCGGGCAGCCCGCGTAGGACGCGCGCCGCACGCAGAGGCGGCCGCGCTGCAGCGGCGGGCCGCATTCCGGGGGCGCTCGGCCCGGGCGGGGCTCCGGCCGCCCCGCGCCTCTGCTGATCCGGCGCTTCCCGCAGCCAGAAGGATGACTCAGCGCAGCCGGGGCGGGGGCAGGGCCGGAGCAGGAGCCCCCGCCCCCCAGGTGTTCCTCCGGAGGCCCCTCCAGCTCCCCGGCCGCAGCGCCGCTTGGCGCGCCGGTCCCGGCTCCCGGCCGCGAGGGCACAGCACAGGCGACCCGCCGAGCTCGCCCTCGTTGTCGCGCCGGCAGGGAAGCGCCGCGGCGGCCGCCCGGGCTGGGGGGGGCGCGGCTTCCCCACGGCGGTAGTCGGGCCGCGGCCGCGGGGCAGGCGCGGCGCGGCGGGAAGGGGAGGGAGACCACGGCCGCGCTGCGTCGGGGAGCGCCGCGGCCCGCCGACGGGACCCGCCGCCGCCCCCTCCGCATACGCCAGTAGGCACCCCGTTCCGGCGAGGCCCGCCCGCCGCCAGCCCTGCGCGCCGCAGGCCGTCCTTGGCCCGGCCGACCCCGGGGCCTCCCGCAGACGCCGTGCTCGGTCAGCGTGTTGCTCAACGCGGGCGGGTGCGGGGTCGCGTTCGCGGCGTCCTTGCCTTGCCACGTTGCGCTGGGCTTCGGGACGCTTGCGGACGAACTTGGGAGCGAACGCGGGCGGGCGGAATCGCGGGCAGTTGTGTGCGCCGCGCGGGGTTGGCCCAGCGCTCTTCTTGCGAGGGGAAGCGCCGCGTTTCCACTGCCGCAGGTTCGTTCCTTCTCCTCCAGGTAATGGCTGGGGGCAGAGGGGACGTTTCTCGGGAAGGCTCCGTGGGAACAATCAGCCAAGGCCGAGGACAGAATGCGGTGGTGCTTGAGCTCCTGACACCGGAGGCAATCGCGAGCTGCGGCTCCCCAGATGCAGCTTGGATCAGAGCCAGGTCCATCTAGTCCAGCATCTGCGCAGGCGCCCAGTGGCCGACCACCAGCCCCAGCGGGAGCCCCAGCGCCCCAGCCCACTCACTGCAGGCCGCAGCCAGCCGGCAGGGCCAGCGCCAGCCTCCCGCTCGACCCTGAAGCGGCCGCACTGCTGGCCATTCCCGTACTTCGCGGGAGCGGGACCTGGCGCTGGGGCGGGCAGCCTGGTGACATGCCAGCCCAGCGCTCGGCTGCCGTGACGAGGGCAAGCGCCATGCCAGGCATTGCTCCGAACGGGATACTGGTGTGACCGCGCTTGGAATGTCGTCTTCCGTTCCAGTCCCCTCACCTGCCCAGGGACGCTGCTGAGTTGGGAAGGGGGCAGAGAAGGGCGAGGGGATGATCTGGCGGCTTGGGCAGCTGCCCCACGAGAAGCGGCTGCGCCTGGGACTGGGCAAAGGGGAGTCGAGGGAGGCGTGGCAGACGCGTTTCAATCAAGCCTGGGGTGGAGGAGGCGCGTTTGCCTGCCTCACTCATAGTGCTCGATTCCAGGCGTGACCCCATGAAGCCGATGGGCGGGAGGTGTGGGGCAGGAAGAAGGGAGCCCTCCCCAGAGGGCGTAGCAAGACGGTTGCGTTCGCTGCCACGGCAAGCGGTGGTGGCCACCAGCCTGGACGGCTCCAAGTGGGGCTGGGTGGACCCAGGAGAGAAGGGGCTATCGGGGCTTCCTCCTTCCCAGAGGGGCTGCGAACCCCAGTTGCTGAGGGGCTCGGGCAGGAGGAGGCCTTGGACCCGTCCTGCTGGAGGGATCCTGTGGGCCACCATGCTGGACTGGGTGGCCTCTGGTCTGATGCAGCCAGCTTGGCTCATTCCTCATTTAACGATGCGCTCTCTGAAGAAGGATTCTCGCAAGGTCAGACAAATACACTTTCTACTTTCCAAAGTAACGGCAAAGTCCTTTTAGGGCATGTGTCCCACGACGGCCTGGCACAGGAGTGCGTGTCCGGCCTTCTCTCTCCGGCCAGCAGGGCAAATCTTTTCTCCTTCACAGCATTTTAAACATGTGTAGCTTTGCACCGCTTGACCTTTGACACCGGATGTTCAGCTGCCCCCCTGCCCCAGGCCTCCACTTGGCCACCTTGTGTTGTCGGAACTCCGGCCCCAGAAGTGCCCCGATGCAAGCCCCCCCCCCCCGGATGCTGCCGACCGGGCCTCGGCTCCCGGGGAGCCCCGAGTGGCGCCCACAGTCGGCAAAGGGATCTGTGCCACGTACCCTGCGGCTCTTCGGCGCCAGTTGAACCAAACCAGGAAGACTAAAGGACGGGTCCGTGGAACAGAATCCGGCTACCATGGAGCAGTGCGAGCGATGGAAAGAACAAAAGGAGTCGCCAGGAGGAGCTGGAGGTGTTGTCCGTTGGGCTTGGCCCGCTGCACCAGGAGCACAACAGCACGTGTTGCCGCTCTTCCTCACCTCAAGGGGGCGCTGTCCTCTCTGCAAAGTCTCTAATGCTGGGACGGCTCCCCAGTGGGCAGGCTCTGCATTTCCCCCCTCCAAGCATTGGCTCTTGCTCGGGTCCCTGGGTCAGGGCTCCCCCTGCCGCACAATGCTCATAAATTCAGGGCAATTCCATGGCCCCCTTTTATTCGCCCCCCTCCCCCGCCCCCCTATAGACCACGGTGGCCCCTCCTTTGCCACTCTTTCTTTTACTAACGAAGGACCAGATTTAGCTCCCCCTGGAGAAGTGCAGAGCTGGCCTCGGATGCCGGCTCTTGGGGTCTCGCTCTGGGGCAGCCTTGGCCACTTCCCAGGCGTTGCTGCCCCAAACGCGCATGTTGAAAGCGCCCACAAGTGGAAGAGCAGGCGCTGCGCTGCCGGATCAGGCCTGGCAGGGCCACCGAAAAGGGATGCGAGGAAGAGCAGGGCCAGCGGTGCGCAGCCACCAGCCCCGTGCAGCCACACTTCCGCACGCAAACGGGAGCGGCGGTCACAGGTGGCCGACAGGCTGCGCCCGGGTGCCAGGCGGATCACATGCTCCCTCCAGGGACGGCACTGAGCAGGGGGCCCCTGAGCCACGGAGCAGCCCCTGTCCAGCCCCACTTGCTCGCTTGCGTGAGCACGCACGGGGGGTGGTGCTAGGCCAAGGCGGCTGGCCCAAGCGCATGCCTGGACACCCGCACCGGAGGCGAAGAAAGGAAGGAGGGCCAGCCATGGCGCCTCTGCTCGCTCCACATGCCGCCCGGCCTGAGGATAACCGCGGGACGAGGAGGCGGCACGCCCTGCCCAAAGTCTGGGCTTGTCCTCGGCGGCCAGGGTGCCTCTCATGCGCACAAACCCCCTTCCACGTGCGGGCACCAGAGCCTGCCGAGGGCAAAGGGACTACGATTCCCATGGGGCCGTGGGGACAAGGCAGCTGGATTTTCAGCAGCTGGGCCCCGGGTCAGAACGCACCTGGAAGGGAGGCTGCGCCAATGCAGATGGTCCCCCCCGCAGCCAAGCTTGCCCAGCCATGTCGAGACCCCTCCCTCGACAGCCCCCCCCCCCGGGCCTCCCTCCCCCCACAGGGAGTCCCGCGGCCTTTCCCAAGCTGGGGCGAGCGGGCGGGAGGCGGGCCAGCCTAGAGCGGAGCGTGGCCTGACAGACTGACCTCTGCTCCGGACGAGCAGAGCAAAGCATCGCCCGCAAGGAGAGGCCGCATGGCCCGAAGGGTCGCCCTGACTGCTTGCACCCGTCGCTCAGCCTCGGCGTCCCCCACGGGAAGGCGCCCCGCTGGGAGAGGTCTCTCGGGGCTCCCAAGCCGTGCCCTGGATCTGCCGCGCGCTGTGGGAGCCCGCTCGAACGGCGCTGCAGCTCCGCGGTCCTGCAGGCGGCGGGGGGGGGGAGCCCGCGTCCCGGAGGGAGGTCCCCGGTGGAGCTTCTCCGGCCGCGGGAGGGCGAGTGGGGTGTCTGAGACACCGCCTTCCCCGGGGCGGGAAGAGGAGGGGGCGAGGGCGCCGGTCGCCCGCGCCCAGCTGAGGCCTGCCTGCCTGCCTGCAAAGCGGCGGCCGAGCCTTCCTCCCCGCGGAGCAGCGCGCCTCCCCGGTCCGCTCCGGAGCGCTCGGACGCTGGCGGCGGTCCTGCCCGGCCGGCCGGCCCGCGCTCCTCCCGCCCCCCGCGCCCCCAGCCAGGCAGCTCCCCCGCGGCTCCGTCTGTCTTGGGGACATCGCTCTTCCGCTCCGGGTTGGCCAGGATGGCGGGCGAGGCCCCTTTGTCCGTCCCCGATGCCTCCAATCGGCGGAGCGGGGAAAGCCTCGACGTGAGCGGAATGCGGGCGGGGGCGGCGACCCTGGCCCGCTCGGCCGCTCCGGGAGCCGCCACTGCGGCAAGGCGGCGGGCCTGGCCGCGCTCAGTGTCGCCGCGGGCGGGCTGGGGGGGAGCGCCGGTCCGCCGCCTTCGCGAGGCTGAGGGGCGGGCTAAAGAAAAGGGAAAAGCGCCCCGAGGCCAGTGCCCCCTGCTGCAGGATCGCTGCCCTCACTCCGGGTGGAGGTCTTGCAGGGCGAGATGGGGCTGAATGAAAACCCAGCCCCCCCCCCCCAGAGCAGTGGCTGAGGGGACAGTCGCTCAGCTCCGTCCCAGAGCAACCGCGGGCTGCCCTGAGCATGTGCAGAGAGCGCTCTCAGCCCTCTTCGCCGGCCCGTGCAGGGAGAGCAGAACCTCCAGGCGGGAGGGGGGCAGGGCTGAGGCCCAGCGGCGGCCCGTAGCCTGGCTGCGGGCAGCAGAGGTGCGGGGAGGGAGCCCCCCGGGAGTCCCCACCCCCGAGCACCCCTGCCTTCGGCGAGAGAGCAAAGGGCGAAAGAAAGCGACGGCAGACGCGGATCTATTGCAAGTTTCATCTTTCTTTTTTATTATTTGAAGTGCTCCAGGACACGTGCGCGAATTGTGCTTTACTGGGTACTCCCTTCAGCTACTGGCTCAAAATTGCTCTTCGTCTCCTCCTCGTTCCTCTTCTTCCTCGTCGGATTATTATGTCTTTTCTCCTAGGGTAAAGTGCGGTCTTCTCCACAAACCGGCCTAGGATTCTTTACAGCTTGTAAAAATTCGTGTAAATTTCCAAACGGTATTTACAAAGCTTCCAGCTGCTCCAGGAGTCCTCGGTTCCCCTTTGAAGTCAGTCTGAGCAGAAGGGAAGGTTCGTAGCAGGGTCGGGGTGCGAAGTCCTCGTTCTAGTAGCGTTATTAATTATCTTAAGTACAAAACAGGAGGTCCTAGCTAATACAAGTTCCTTCTACCTGAATTCTATTAAGGTTTTTTTTATTCTTTTGTGCTGTTTATTTTTCTTAAGTTATTCATAAAATGGAAAGACCTAAAGGGGGAAGGAGTGCCTTGGGATTAGGGGCAGGGCTGTCCACGTGGCTTCAGAGGAGTCGTGACTTCGGGGAGAGAAGCCAGCGGTGTCTGCGGAGGGGGCCTCTGCCCCCGGGGCGACTGGTTAGGGCGCGCCGGGCCAGGGGATGCTCGACCCGAGCTGCGGTCCGCTTTCCGGGCACCCGCCCCTCCAGCCTGGCTCCCCCGGAGGGCTTCTCCTGCAGCACCCACCACCCCGGCCAGCACGGCCAGTGCGCCTGCCTTCTGGGGGCGGTGGGAGCTGCAGCTCGACGCGTCCGGCGGCGCCTGGTTGGAGCGAGCGGGCCCGCACGGCCCGGCGGGGGGCGCCGGGATCCCTGCCAGGGCGGCCGAGCGGGCTGGGCGCCCCAGGCTGCCGGCCGCGCGGCCACGGAGCTGGGGGCACGCCCGGGGGGGGGGCGCCCAGCCCTGGGTGGCGGCCGGCGGGGGCGAGGGCGCCCGGCTTGGCCGGAGCGCGTCCTCCAGGGCCGGGCGCGCGTGGCGTGGCTCTTCGGCGGGGTGGACAGTCCTCGGAGAGTCGCTAGAAAAGAAGGCGGGCTGTGGCTTGCGGTTCTCCGGCAAGGCAAGCGCTACAAGCCAAGATTTGACTAAGCTACTCGGAAGTAAGTCGAAGAAGGCAGGCAGTGTGCATTCATTAGAAGAGAAGGAAAATTCGCCGTATTAACTCTAGCTCACTACATTGGCAAAGTCCCTGATATCCGTTGCTATTAAGAATACTGGATTAAAATGTACCTGATTCCTCAGTAATACTATTGTCTTAAAAATAACATGCATTACATTAATTATTGCTTCTATTAGTTCAGTAGGAGAATATTGCCCTCAAATAGACTATTATTATCTAAAAGTTTGGCAAAGAAAAAAGTGACGTAAAATTGTTTTACAAATGAAAATCCATAATAATAATAATAATAATAATAATTTTAAAAAAGCATCATCAAATTGGCATAGTTTTTAAATACATTTCTTTTCGTTCTTGCATGCAAAAAATCCTGTGTTAGAAAGAATGGCAACAACAACCCACTCCCACCCAAAAAAGCAAGAAATTAAGGGAGAAACCGAACCGAACCAAACCAAAGCAAACCAAACCAAACGGGTCAGTCCGTGTTCCTCGTGTTGGTTTCCTCGTTCCCCCACCCCCCTCAAAAAGTGACGTAGACTTTGGCATAGTAAAGAAGTCTTGGCAACAAATGCACCGCTCAGGAAGTCAGAGCGGTGCGGCGAGGCTTTCTCGAGACCAAAGAACGGAAGTGCAACAGAAAAGCCTTAAGGGAGGGGGCGGCCCCTCGAATAAATACATAAATAAATAAAAATATGGACGCCTTCAAGTGAAATAGAGACTTCGACATTTTCTTTTCTTTAAAAAAAACACTGTGAAATAAATATGTAAGAAAGCAAATACTTACGAAAATAGAAATGCGACGCTTTTTTAAAAGGAAAACAACAGTCTTGCAACTGAAACAAACAATAAAAAAGATTCGTTCGCCAGACACGATTCATTAATGGATTAAAACGCATCACCCTTGTCGTTGTGAGGCCGACCGGCTGACTGCGCGGAGCAGGAGTCGCGAGTGCGCCGTGGGTTGCGGCGGCGGCGGCGGCGCGGCGGCACCTGTCCAGGTGGACCCACCTGGCGGCCGCCGGCTGCGGAGGGACGCGCGTCGCTCCGCCTTATCGTGGTGCGGGATGGAGGGAGGTGGCCCCCGGGGACCCCGGCGGGCGGGGGGCGATGGCGGGCGCCGGCCTCCCCCCGGGGCGCGGCGCCGGCGGGGCTCCTCCGCGCGCGGCCCGGCGCTGTCCGGC